CGTTATCCTGCTGAAAAATTGCATTAGCCAGTCCCTGAAGGTAGGGGATTGCCACTAGTTGCAGTACATTATTCAAGTATTGTTGGGCCGTCATAGTGCCCTGAATACGAACTAGAGGTGACCTGGAATCGTAGGCAATAGCGCCCCAAACCATAATGCCACGTTGTCACGCGGTGGGGCATTCCCCAGTTACTGCCAAATTAGATCTGTCAACACATCGATGCCACACACATATGCGGCGACTGTCACTGGATAAACAGAAACGTTTCGCCATACTATCATCCACATCGCTCCAGTCCAGCACCACCGTCTATGCTGTGGGGTCAATGGCTGTCTTCTTAACGGACGGCGTGAGTGCAGGCCACGTTCAACCAATCGATGGGAAATGGGTCTGGTCGACACAGGAACATCCAAGATATCTTGCACATGCTGCAGAATCACAGTACAAGTGACTTGTAGGACCGCGACAGCTTGTCAGCGGGTGCATTGATCCATGCATGCTGACGTCACTCTGGCTGCACCTGCAGCCCTCCTTCTTCCCACATTTCCTTGTTCCAACCATGTTCGCCATAGCTGATGCACCGTGCTTGCATCCATGTGGGTATCAGCTGTGATTTGATGTAAGGACCAACCTGCCCTGCTCAGTCCGATCACCATACCCCTCATAAAATCGTCTATCTGCTGGAAGTGCCTTCGTTGATGGCGGCCTGGCATTCTCTCCTATTACACATATCCTCTGGGACAAAAAACAACTTTCTTTAATAATTTGTCTGGCAGAAATAACGACATGAAGATTGATCATTCTGCATGTTCCTTCCCCTATATCTTCACTTGCATCGGAGAGCTGCGCATTTCACATCATTCGCATAACTCAGTGACGTGCGTCTACTCTAAAATTTGCATACATTTCTGACCACTCCATCTTGGTGTTGCATTTTCAATGTCGAGCAGTGTATATATATATTTGTTTGTGATACAGTCAAAAGTCGTTAATCCGGACTCGTCGGGACTTCGGCGATTCTGGATTATCGATTTTTCCGGATTATAGATCATCAGTTTAAATCTGGTAAAATGGCATGCAGAAATTATAAAAGTAAAAATATGAAACCGTAATTTACGAAATAAAGAACAATTATGATCTAAAGGGTATCAAAATTTACAAAAAAAAGCTTAATATTTATTTGTTTACTTTATTAAACATTTCTTTCAATGTAAGTTGTTTCAGTTGCTTCGTGTTTTATGTGATAATACATTCTCTTTAATTCTATAAACAGAGATAGTTTCTTGTTCAGTTACAAAGTTCCACTGTTCAAGTCCTATAATTGCTGTGTCGAGAATACCGACCAATTTGTCGATCGAAATTTTTTCGTTTTCAATAACCTATGTCACTTTCTTCGCTATCGGAAGTGAATTATAATGAGGAGGCATTTGATTTAAATCATATCAAAGACGGAGTACATCGAGATGAAATACTACATTGAGTAAGCAATTATAAGCCATATAAAATAAAAATATCTGCCCTTAAGGTAAGGATAGTGCTGACAAATCAACTTCCAATTCATTGCACGCCGCCGCATTAAAGATAAACAAAGTTTAGATAAACAAACGTTAAAGTTTAGATAAACAAAGAATATGCCTTTATCCATTTTTTGCAGCAATTCCATTTTTTGTTTAATGGACTCTGAAAGATACTTTCGCTTTGTATATCCTTTACATGTTAGTAAATATATATCGGAAATTCTATTTGACATAATCGAAAGTTCAAGCTTACTTTTATAAAATTGCTCTAACAGTCTGCAAAAAATTAATAATCCGGATCCAATTCGAAGATTAAGGAACAACGCAATCTGCAACATTAACTGAAATAGATAATTAGATTAATTTTAGCTTAGCTTATCCCGTCCGTTATACATTAAACGCGCATTCGTAAACGTATTTTGCGCACATGCAAATGATGAGAATGTTGATTTGAAAGTGAGAGGAATGTTATTTTTCTGAGATCTCGTTTAGGGTGAATAAGGCATGTAGGTCCGTTCAAGGGAAAGAATGTAAACAAAATAACGTTCGCAAAAAGCAACTGAGTGGTCTTTTGTGTGGGAAGAGCACTAGTCTATGCACAATGACAAGGCCATCCAAACTATGTACAATGACCATCATAGGAAATATTTTATTTTTAGTGCACCTAAACGCCGCATGGGTAGAAATGCTGCACCCGCTGAAAATTTAAGTTTTAAACACGTAAACGCCGCAGCGTTTCTTCTGGAAATTACGGTACCTAAGATATTTTATACCAGCAGATGATTTTGTGTAGGGAATATTATGAAGATTATTTCTGTAAAAAAATATTTGCCTTCAGCAATCATTTTGTTTATAATAATTAATCTCATACTTTAAGCAAAATTTAAGCAACATTTTTGACCTGGTATATTTGCTGACAATATTTAACGAAAGAATCGGAATCTTTATGAGTGATCTATTTTTAGTCAAGGTCACCGTTTATCAGAACATTACCTCAGTCAGATGTTTACATTTGTGTTGGGAAGGAAGGGAAAACAGGTGTTGCATTGATGCAACGTCAGCAGAAAACGGGTAGTCAATCTCCTTTTTCACTCATTCCTTTCGATGTTCTGGTTCATGTTCTGGTTGTTCTTTAAAATGCCTAGAACGAGGTATCTTACATTAGAAGAAGCTCTTCAAAGATTTTTTGATGAAGAAACAGATGATGATAATGTTAATAATGACCAGAATGAAACTGATATTGTTGTTGTTCCCCCAGAAATTGCAGAGGCTAGTGACGAAGAAGAAAGGAATGGCAATGTTTTAAATATTGATAATGGTATTTTACCAAATGATATTGCTGGGGAACTTGAATTTTACGTAAGAAGTAAGTTTCAGCCTTCTAAAAGCAGTTAAAGTCATACTAAAAAGTTTAAACAGCAGAAGACTGAAATCATGAAGTGGAAAAAAAAAAGGAACTGTTAGTTATGTCTCGGGAAGAACATGAAGAAAGAAAAATTATAACAAAAAACAAGGTAAAACTAGTGCACAGATTTTCAATTTTCTTTTTGGTTTAGACATTTACTCTCTTCTCGTTGAACAGACAAATATATACGCTCAGGGGGGGGAATGCCCAGAATTTATTGCATCTGAAGCCTATATGAGAAGATTTATTGGAATATTATTGCTTACAGGATATCATTCTTTACCTCAAGAAAAAATGTATTGGGTCTTTTGATAAGGACATTTCTGTTCCTGTTTCAGAAAAGAAACATTCCTTGTAGTTTTGGCGGTTAATGGGTTAAAGAAAAGAACATTAAATTTTTCTTCATAGCATTTGCCATGAAGGCTTGGTTTTGCTCGTTTACGTTTTCCCACATGTTGTCATTCATGTGAATTTAACACTTTCATGATTGCTATGAGTGGTTGTCAAGATAACCAACATTATTTTAGACCATGGATTCAAGACATTTTCCCTACACACATTCCTTTTAAAATAATGGTTTGACCATAAACCCCCCATTAAATTTTTCTCTATAATATACAATATACAACGTAATTCTAATACAAACAACTGCATATAAATAACTTAAATGGCAACCATTATATTAATATGAACAAAAGTTTTGGAAAAATGGTATAGTAGATAAATTTTACACTATTTTTTGTATTAATTTTACAGATATAAACAAGTTTTCATAAACCAAACCACATTCTAATTGACATCGTTCGTTTTTTTGCATTTTTAAACCACCTTGTTTAAAAAATTCCATCTGTTTCTTACTTTCTGTAGCAAATTACTAGCTCAACCAAAGCCTGCTTCTACTAGATAAGAAGACAGAAAAAAGTTTGTTCAGCAAAAAATATCATTTTGGGATATTTCTCTCTGATGACTTTGAATTCATAAACATAGTGTACCCATGTGTTTTGCATATCTTCTATTAATGACAAACTTTTCTTGCATCATAACATTAAGATCAAATGAATATAGAACAGTTCAGCAGTTCTATAAACCATTCTGATGCATTCAAATTGGAAGTGAGCATTAAAATATTCTTTTAAAATTTGCAAGTGGCCTGTATATAGCAATACATCTTCCGAGAAAGATTTAGGTTCTTCGTCCCATTTTCTTGCAATCCTATGTTTTACTTTTCTATATTGCAGTTACTGCATATAAAATTTATATATTTAAAAAACAATTTTTAAAATGTATTAAGTAATTTTAATGTGATGTTTCCCTTTACATTTATTTCATATGTAAAGTTTCCCTTTACATATATTTCATTCCTTACTATATGATATAGATTTATGTCAGTAAACAATGACCAATTTTAATTATTTATTTTTTAATCGATGGAATCTGAAATATGCTCATCAACTGCCAGTGCATATTTGGCTATCAATTCCCTTTCTCATCAGTGATCCCCTCTGAAATTTCACTGACCCCCTGAGAGTTGATCCTGTTGAGAACATATTTCAGAGAGATAGTTCACTATATTTTTAAATTCCATCAGTACCTTTTCCTATTAAATTCCATTCTATGTCAAAAATTCTCTGATGTTTTCAGACACTTTTACTCTCATGTGCATAGTAGTAGCCTGCCGTTTATGAAATGGCAATTTTTTAATAGGTAATTTAGAGAAAACAAGATATTTCAGACATTGAAAATTACATCTTGAAGTGCAAATAAAGAAATATGCTGAGTTACACAAAAATTATTTGGAAATGAGAGAATATTCAGAGAAGTATGTTGTAAATTGGATTGGCAGTAGTACAGTAAAAAACTGGAACTCTTTTATCTAAGTCGGAAGAGTTGGCACACTTCTAATAGCTTGAAGGGGGAAATTATAATGTAAATTATATACATTCTTTACCTATGTGCATAAAAATAAATATATGAAATAAATACTAAATGTTAAACAAAAGCATAATCTAGATTATGTGTAAAAAAAAATTAGGTGGCTGGATAACTGTCATTTAGAAAAGATGAAAAATATCCTTACATGAGCACGACGCATACATTCTATTTCAACATCATGTTTGATAGCTTTCATTAATAAAACAGGATTTGGACTTTCAATGCGGCAATCCTGCAATGTAAAAGGAAATTAGTAAATAAAATTAATAATTAAATATTCTGATAATGTTCACAATAACATACATTTCCAGAACTAAAAATCTCTCTGAAAATATTTGCTTTTAATATATGTTTAACAATGGTACAGCTTCCATTATAAAATACACATAATATCCACAAAGATTAAATATTAAGCCTTTAATTAAAATGTCTTACCTCTGGGATCAACCTTAACAAAGCATAGCTTGATTTCCTACTGATCTAAGAAATATAACTAACTATTATTATTTTAGAAAAGTAAAATACACAGCTTTATTTAAAACATCTTATGAAATATCTGATGTATAAAATAAGATACAAATAATCAGAAAAATTCATATGCATAATCTGAAGATAAATTCTTACCCAAATTTTATCATGTTGCTGATTTACCAGCCAACTTAAAAATTCCTTGATCAACTGATAAGGGCGAATTTCTACTCTTATTTTATCAAAACAATCTTCTTGGAAATGACGTTTAACCTGTGCTGTTATTTTTGATTCATCTACAAAAAGGCTAAAAGAAATAAAATATATTTATGAGACAAACATGGGTGTTAAAGAAATTTTCATTCATGGATTAAAAAAATTCATATAAAAATCCTTTAAATTAATACAGTCATGATTTCTTAGTTATGATACAAAATATTAACAATTTATTGCCTTTAAAAATTTATATATTAATTATATCTCTTTTAATACTATGCAAGTTACTCTTTAAAACTTTCTCATCTTGTTACATGTTGTATGAATTGCCTAAGAGTAAACAAGCAGTTTTTCTCCAAAATATGGGATTTTGTTTTAAACTGTTAATGCTACATTTAGTGCTTCCATAAGAAATATGGGATTTATGTTTCAGGATCCAAAAGGTGGAGTTACTATTTGTATAATGACTGAACAACACTGAATAGTTTTTCAATAACTATTTTCCAATGCCCAATATTAATGATGGTGCTGTGAAGTAAGCAAATTTCTTTTTTATATGTTTCATGCCAGCATTCTGCAAAAAATAACTTTTTGCTGTTTCACAAAAGCTTATACAAAGCTACAGACAGCTTTAAACATATTTGTAGCAAGCTTCCTTTTTGTAATTAAAGCCAAAATTCAGGAAAGAACTTCTGTTGGTCTTCAAATCCAAAACCTTAAATAGAATACTGGATTTAAGTGGCTTGTATTAATGTTATGTGTGAGCAAAGCCACAAAACCAATATTGCAATCAGCTCTTTTGCTGAGACCCAAAAGCTGGTTGAATAGCTAGTATTTAGTGTAAAATGGTTTATTTTCAGGGGTGGACTATGAAAATTTTATCAAACAGCTTGCAATTTAACATAGAAAAACAAAATATATAATTCTAATGTTGTAACTTTTTATAAACACAAAAAATGCAAATAATTCTATATAAACAAGGGAAAAGTTTTATAAAAAATTTAAAAATCATCAAAATTTTTAAAAAATCACAATATCAGATATAATTCTTTTAGAATATCAATCATTGAGGCAAGGTCCAAATTTAGGAGTCAGTTTTAAAAATCCTTAGATTTATCTTATGATGCAAATATTGTTATACAGTTCCTCTACACAGCAAGATCCATTTGTAAACTGTATTCTGCCATTTGTGGTCCAAAGATACAGATTTTTATCATTTTTCAACACCTGAAACTTTAATCTCATTTAATTCTCACTGATTTTGGAGGCTAATGATAGAAATCCTACAATGTATAAGAAATTTTTTTAAATTACCGTAATTTCGCGCGTATAGTCAGCGGACTATCTGTGTTCAAAATGCAAATTTTTGAAGCTGCGGACTATTTACCAATTCGGATAATACACTGGTTGTTCACGGTTAAAATCGTTGAAATTTAAAAAACGTGCTGTCGTGAACTGCCGATGATCAAATATAAAAAAGTGCGAGATTCCAAGAAAACATTCGTATGTATCGTATCGATAGTAAACCATAGAGCATACTGCAGAACGAATGAGTAGTAGCAAGTAGAGCTCCTAAAATCCAGGCTGGCGCCTCAAGCGATGCCGGGATATGAGACAAAGAAAGTCTTGTATGACCACTCACTTAGCGCAACCAGAGTCTTGTATCCCAGTATCCTTCACACTGCTTTAGTGCAACTGCCGGGAGGGGGAAAAGTAATTGATGTGTCAGCTTGGTTTTTAGGAGCCATAGTAGCAAGTACCTGGAGTACCAAAAAAAAAAAAAAAACGTGATTCGTTTACTTATAGCGTGATTTGGCAACACCGAGTGAGTGGGGTCGAAGGTCACATTTCATTACCACTTATCACGAGTATAGCCCGTTGCACAGTATTTTGTCTTTCATCTTCGATAACGTTGATGAAACATCGCCGTGAAAAAGATGAAAATAGAGAAGCGGGCCATTATTGGTTTAATCCTAGTATTCGGTGCACACGGGATTTGGCTACTTTTGGCGACTTTATGATGAGTAGTTAACGGGTCATTCAAAGCAAATATATACTATGTGTGTATATACATATACTATGTGTGTATAGTATATATATATAGACATTCTTTGGATCATTTTTGGTGTTGGCGATAATTTTCAAAGTCGTGCCAAGGCTGCACCGTATACTAGGATTTTACCCCGTTATTTTGAAGTAGACGAGAAAGCGGTGAGAAATTGGCGCAAACAAAGGATGCGTTTAAAAAGCATGGGAATATTGCCATATTAAAAAAACGTAATTTCGGACGTATAGTCCGCGGACTATCTGACGATTTTTGAAATTTTTTTAATATAAAATCTTGTCTGCGGACTATACGATGGTGCGGACTACACGTGCGAAATTATGGTACTATTTCTGCTATGAGTATTTTTTATTGAATCTTCTAATGATAATTGTAAACAATTACAGCATTAGGGAATTTTTATAGAAGTTTGACAGTGATTTTCCTCTTAACATACTACCACCATTAAAATATAATGCAATTAAATAATTTTTCAAACAATTTTCAAAAAATTCAAAGTATTAATTATACAGGCATGCATACGAGGTATGTTTAGAAAGAAACCAAACTTTCGCTATAACATATTTATTGCTTATTGAGCAGCATTTTAAGCAATGTCCTCCTCAAAGCAGTCTCCTCTACTGGAAATACATCATTCTCATCATTTCTTCCCCCTTTTGGAAAGCCTCCTGGAATGCATTTTGAAGGATGGCACACAGGTCTCTTGTTGCAGTGTCCTGAATCTCCAATATTGTTCTCAGTTTGGGAAACAAGAAAGAGGCCTGCTGGGACTAGCTCCAAAGAACACAGCGGATGGGGCTGGAGTGTGATGTTTTGCTAGAAAGCAAAGAACGATGCATGAGCCAGCACAATGTCATGATGCAATATCCAAACCTGGTTTTTCAACACTTCAGGATTCTTCCTGCATACAGCATCCTTCAAACATGCTAGAATTCCCTGGTTAAATTCCTTGTTTAGCATTCAACCACATGGTACAAATTCCTGATGGACAATGCCACTGCAGTCAAAAAACACAACCAGCATCACCTTGATCCTTGACTGAACTCAGTGTTTTTTTGGGAGGGACAAAGAGACCCTTTCCCATCCACTGTGATGACTGCAACTTTGCTTCAATATCATAGCCATAAACCCTCATCTTATTGCCTGTTCTTTAAAAAGTTTTCATTGTCATTGGCAGTAGTAAGCAGTTCCTGGCTGATTTCAAAAACGGGTCTGTTTCTAATTGTCAGTCAGAAAATGCAGCACAAATTTTGCAGTGACAAGAGGCATTTCAAAGTTTGTCACACAAAAGTTGATGGCACAATCTTACAGCCGATGCCCACTTCGTCAGCAACTTCTTAAACAAAAATTTTCCTGAATCACAGCATGAACTTGACATGGTCAACATCTGTTGACGTGGAAGGTCCTACAAGCTTAGGATTGTCACTGACCAACATTCTGCCATCTTCAAAACATTTATACCACTCAAAGCACTGGGTGCCACTCATATAGTCCTTACCATATGCTAAGCAAATGAAGTGTTTATGTGAAAGTTCTGCGAAGTTTGTAGCAAAATTTCGCACATGTGTTGCTCTTCGAGCTCTTTCATTCTCACTTTGTCACTAATCTGACGAAGAGCTTGAGTTCACTTCAGCATTAGCAGCTTCCCAACTAATAGTCACAGTGAAATGCAACAAATGGCAGTTTTCTGTTTAAACCTACCACTGCGTGCATTCAGCAGCTGCAGCATGTTCCCTAGGCGAGTCGGTGTGCTATTTCAGAAGTTCAACTTTTTTAACGTGCCTCGTACATTCAACAAAATTACTCTTCAACTCTAAACAAAAAGAATAAGCGACTTCCAGATTAGACACAAATTTAACAAAGGACTTGCGCAAGTCCCTTAAAGCTCATCACTGTTATTTCCTTACAAAAATATTTTTATGCATTATTTGCTAAAAGCTTATTTTATTCACATAAGGAAATTTTTACAGAATTAAAGCTTTAAAAAAAGTATCATATGTTGAATATTTTGAAAGGATTTAATCATAACACTTTGTTGATTTTTACATGGTCTTCCTGTCCTCCTCCCAGAAAAAAGTCCTAACAGTTGATAAAAAAATTACTATTCAGTATAGACTTCTAATCACTGCAATTTCATGTCTGCATTTAATAAATTGATATACAGAACAGAAGAATGTTAACTATATCACCACCAAATCGGAAAGTTTCAAAAAATTCTAAAAATGTACCTACAAAGCAAAAATCTGATGAATATATTTCAGAGCATTTTGATCTTAAAAATGGCTTTTGTTAAAATTAATTCATATTTTTCCACCATGAATGACACAATAGAATACAGCTGTCTAACAGCTTCTTTACTGCACTTCCTTCTGATTCTTGGTATGTATGGACACAATTCAAGATTGTCTAAAGCAAACTTGTGCTTGGTACATTGTATAAAAGTTGACTGCTTTAATAGTCCTGAGCACATTGTTACATTTTTGTTAAACTAAGCAATGTAAATACAATAAGAAGAAACAAATCAGTCACAATGAATTTCAATAGACCACATAACTAGGGTTATGCAAGAACAGCTTTGTTATTTATAAATAAAATGTTATGTAATAACAAAAAACCTATACAAAACACTAAAAAATATCATAAAAAGGACTAAAAAGTCAGAAGCAATAAAAGCTAGAAAAAGCAATGAAAAATCAAACTTGCATGTAAATTACATAAGGAACAGGAAATATAGTAATAGACAGTTGTATCAAAGTTCAGGCAGTCATGGTTAAAAATAACATACTGCACATGCAAATGAGGCTAACAACAATAATAAAGTTTGTTTGGAACTTTACTGAACTAAACAACAAAAAATAATAAAACAAAAAAAAATGATAAATAATAATTTTAGTTTTATGTCACAGGTGTCACACTTTAAAGTCGTAATTTAATTTAAAATTAAACATCAAATCATTACAAAATGAACTTCCTATGAGTGCCTTCCAAAAACACAGATGTAATTATACTATCCTGTGAAAAGCTGCACTTCTAGCAGATTTACGTATAAAAAAAATATCTGGACAATTTATAAAATTAAATTTCTTTATTGATCTCCTCATTTTTAGGTAATCAAACTTTTTGCAAATTAAGACCACATTTTGTACTTTTTAAATTCTGCTTATAATTGGTGACACAGCTGCATAGAGACTTAAACAATGGTTAAGATGAAGTTTTTATTACAGTAGATTCATTTGCATTAGTTCCATGATTCCTTTAAACTTTTAATACAGTTCCAATACTTTTAATACAGTTCAATAAAAGTACTGAATAGAAATGTATTTCACATGTCATATTCTCAATAAAAGATAAAATACATAGAAGACCAGCAAATTACTTACTAAACAGTTTCTAAAGTAACAACTCCAAATGCAAGGAAAACAGGATTATAATCGAAGTCACTACCACGTAAATTGAAAAGCCCTGAAAATATCCATAAAAAGTGTTCATTATTAACCACTATAACTTATACAATGGATACATATAATTCTAATATCCTGTTTTTATTTAATAAACAGATGTTCTAAACTTATATTCACAATACAGATAACATTATGAGACACATCCAGAAAGTAAATTTCCTTAGGGCATAAACAGAAAGAAAACATGATTACAACATTACTGGTAGAGGTAGACCAATTGCTTAGCTATTTTTCAACATATTCACAGCAAAACTGAGATCGCTGTTACATTGTGGGATCAACTCTTGTATTCTTTTTCAACAGAATTCTACAGCTGGAGATCTCAGTCAGTGGGTTACAGATGTACAAAACTCTAAAAATGTCGACCAGACTGAAATTTCTTGAAGCGTAAGGATAAGGAGATGAGGTCAGAATTATAAGATGGATGGTCAAACACCTTCCATCAGAATTGCTGTAGGAGATGGGCTGTGTGTTGAGCCATATATTCGCAAGCATTAACCCCTTTGCACTGGGTAGCGCAAACGCGCGCTTACCGCAGAGGCCGGCAGTGTCTTACGCGAGCATCTGTCCAGGGCCAGGGGCTTTTTTGCTATTAAGCCTAAATCCATGAAATTTCCGAAGTATCAACGCATTGTTTAATAATGCTCTATAGAGTATTTAAACGGCTAATGCTTTATAGATATTTTTATATATATACTTTAATTACCTTATTTCTTGTTTAAATGCATATTTTTATTTTCATTACTCACCATTTTATGACTTTTAACATTATACATCTGAAAACTAAATATATTACTTAAAATTCTCTTTTCGTATGAAAAATTTGTAAACAGGGATCTACACACAGTCCTACATTACATTCCTTGCACTTGTAATAACTCATTTGCCGTTTTGGAGGATTTTTCCGGGAATGTGAACAAACGAAGCATCATCATCATCTCACTTTCTTATCAGTCTCTTCTGAACAAAGTTTTGGTAAATGTGATAGTGATACTATGTAACGTAGTATCCTAGTGATACTACGTTACATAGTATGACTATCACTACTATCAGAATCTGTTTCAGAATCAATATCTGAAATATTTTGCATCATTTCTGCTATTTCATGCTCTGTTAAACATTTTCGACGCTTCGACATTGCAACGGTAAAAACAGAAAGAATTCACGTCTAACAAGATCTAATGATTTTCTAAATACTGAACTGCAAATCGAAATACCCAATGCTTTAGCAAAAATAAAACTTCTCTACTTACAATAAACAACTACCATGTGCGAATTTAAAGACATGTAATAAAGCACGCCATTCAGAAAGATTTATTTCCCCTTTTGTTTTATATAATCAAAAACACGTGTATGTGAGTCATGCTTCTCTCATTTCGAGTAGAAGGTCTAATGTACATGTATCTGAAACCATATGAACATACAGTGCCATCTTGTGGCAGAAATTATAGTTTTTATAACGTTCCAGGACACTGGCACAAATACGTGACAGTTGGGGCTGAACGGGAAAATGCTCTGGCACGCCTGCATGTTGGCCGGGAAGTGAGTGTGTTCGTTGCTAGCACTTAGACGTGACAGTCGGCGCGAAGGGGTTAATATGGACCAACACAACCCTTTCACTGACTAATCCATCCCTCTTTTCTGGATGGTCAGCTGCAACTTCTGCAGTGCTTGATGGCAATTATTTCATCTCTAGCCAAAAAGTCAATAAACAGCATTCCCTTTCAGCCTCAAAATATTTTACCATCTATTGCTAGTGATGGAAACTTACTTTCTACAGGTTGTCTCTAAAAATATACTTGCACTTTAACTGTTGCAAAAATGCTGCCTTTTTTTAATTCCATGTGTAATTAATTTATCACAGCATGGCAGGAAATCAACTTAGCTTGGAAGAGAGGAAGTTTGTCCTGAAATGTTATTGGATGACTGAAAATGCCACTGAAATGCAAAGACGATACAGAAGGGAATTCACAAAACCACCACCAACGTGCCGGACCATAGCTTGCATCAGAGACAAGTTTGATGCAGATTGAACTATCCAAAACATCAACAAGAAGAAACGTTCTGGATGACCATAGACATCCACAAGCCCTGGAAAAGAAGAGCAGGTACATTCGATAAACTGCTCAGAAAATCCACATCTCAAAAGATAGCATCTATCGCATCATGAAGCATCTGCACTGGAAATGCTACATTCCAACACTAATTCATGCTCTCAATGAAGACGATCCTGACCGGAGAGTTCAATTCTGTGAATGGTACCTGGCAAAATGTGCAGAAGATGCAGGGTTACCACACAAAATTGTATGGAGCGATAAGGCATCCTTTAAATTAAATGGCTCCATTAATCGGCATAATTCCATGTACTGGGGTCCTGTAAATCCTCACGTAACACTTGAACACCATGTAAACTTACCAGGAGTAACAGTGTGGTGTGGGATATCCGCATTATGCATCATAGGACCATTTTTTTTAACGGACTGTCACTGGTGAGAGTTACCTCAACTTGCTTCAGGAGTTTATTGGTCCACAAATTTTAGAGATGTTTGGTGATGACGATGAGATTTACTTTCAGTAAGATGAAGCATTTTCCCACTGCCACTGCTATGTACAAGCTCACCTCAATGAAGTTTTTCCAGACACATGGATTGGACGAAGGGCATTGAATACCCTGCATGTTCCCCAGATCTCCATACTCATGGACTTCTTTTTGTGGGGATACATCAAAGACAAAGTTTATCGCACCAAACCAAGAACAATTGATGCATTGAAATTGGAAATTGAAAGACAGTATCGCAATATTCCTAATGACCTGCTTCGTAACGTTTGTGAATCCTTTGGTGTGTGCTATCAGCGTTGTCTGGACAATGATGGTCATCAATTTGAACATGATTTCTTAATTATATTTCTCTTCTGTATTCGAAGCCATTCCATTTCACGCTATGTTCAGAAAGTTTTTCTCGTCATTCGAAGTGTGAGCACATTTTTTTGAGATGCTCTGTATATATACAGCATACATCATAAAAACATTGAGTTAATATATACCAGAGGTGACCACAGTGTGGCTCATATGCATCAAATATGGTAAATTAATACTACTCAATATCCAAAAGAAAGTAATCACAAGCTGAAGGCAAACTATCATTAACTGATTATTTAAAATGAAACATTTCCTTCCATTTGATAGTTTCACTATTTTTAGAACTATGTAAGTATGGGACTTGTGGCTTTTGGAAAATTTAAATGCAGCCATCAAACTTTCCTGAACTCCAACATATGGCTTTTGCTGGCATGAACTTTGGCTACCCTTGATATATACACCCAAACTATTTTGTTTCACAAATTATCTCTAGTCTAACAACAGCTTCTCAGGAAACTATAGAAATATGAACTTTATGTACATAATTCAGCACCCCCCAAATGCTATTTTGATTCTATTTTCAACAACACTGTAATTATTTAAATAGTGCAGTACTCTGAGTAAACTCCGCTGAAATAACATTGATGCAATCATATATCAGACTGGTAAAAACCAGGTGTCTACTATCTTCGCCAACATGGAGATTTACATATTTGAACTGGTGAAAAATCTAGGAACTAATTAATTTTTCTGATATCTGATGATTCCTGCAACTATTCCAGAGATCCAAGTTTTGTTTGACAACTTAGTACACTCTAGATTCTTAAATTTCATTTCCTGTACATCATGCATACTGTAATGTGGCTTCTACTAACACTTAGAACTTGCTAATACAGTTCCCTGACAAAAGCCTACTGGATAAAAGCCTACAAAAATAACCTCACAAGTGTAATTGTCAACATGGCAAATACTCACCAGATGACACCGCACATAGACAAAAGCCCACATCAATAAAAGGACACATGGTTTTATCAATATAAAATGTAATTATAATAAATGGGGTATTTTTATGTCTAAAACTATGTCTCTTAATTTTTATTTGTATCTTTTTTAATTCAACAGCACGCTTTTTGCTTTATAACTACATTTTTAGCTATTATGTTTTGAAAATAAGTCGGAAAATTTCATTTATTCATTAATCATTTATTTTCATTTATTTACTTATTCTGCATTGTGTGCAGGTAAAAAATAACATTGTGAAGTACCTTAAAAGCTATTTTTAATGTTATATGGCTGAGAATAATTATACATATGTTTTATTATTAAAAAATGGGAGATATTATTTAATCAAAGAACAGAAAATATTATTTCTAAAATTATTAATGGAATAGTTTTAAGTCTCTTAATCCTTGAACATGTAAAGCAGCAGTATTAATGTAAAGCAGTATCCCCAAGAATCTATAACAATAAAAAGGATTTATTGTTCTTTTTAAATCTGATTAGATGCTTATATATAAAAATGTGTGAAAGAAATAATTAATATTCTATCAAAAATTCCTTTAATTTTAAAGAGAATCTCTCTTTTTAGCTCTCATAATTTTATTTCAGTTCTCCTGATGACAGTGTAGAGACAGCTTCTGTGTAACTGAGCATATGATACTTCATCTTCTAATTACTGTGCTGAAAGAGAGAATTTCCAAGAAAGTAAGGTGGCACAAAATGATTTTCTAAATTTCCTGGGGCTAAATTTTTTACAGTACAACTAATTTTTACAGCTTACATTTCAGTGTTAATGACCATTCTGGTTTCATTGGAAACTCGCAATTAATAATGTTTACCACCTTCATTCCCGCATCTCATAAGTGATTGACATTAGGAAATTAATAGAAAATTTTTTAGCTTTTCTAGGTAGCACTGTATTTTGTCTTTCTAGGATTCCTACCCACTTTCATTATAATTTGAGAGAAATGATTATGCATTCTCTCAAATAAATTTATTCATCTAGAATGTACTTTTAATTCTTTGGTAAGCTGTTTTTCAAGTTATCAATAAAAAAAGGCAAAATTCTCAACAATAATATAATCCTCAAAGTGCAATAAATGTTTTATCTAAACAGTTTTTCGGTGTTGATTTAAATGTGA